ACTTACGCATTGTTTAAAAGTATATTGAAATTAGTTTAACCAATTTAAAGTTATTGCAGAGGAATGTAAAACATACAGAAATCTACCAATTTAAAATGTGCTTTTGGGGGGGATCAGAATTCTTAAATAACAGAACAAGCCAATTGTCATCCACCGGAAGTTCAACAAATGTGTCTGGAAAGATCATGGACTTAAAGACAAACATTTAACTTGATCAGACTAACCACCTTGGTTGAGATTTTCAACATGATTAGTGATTTTGCGTGCCCAATTTGTGACACCTTAAAGTGCTGAGCACAATCTGAAAATCAGATTTTGTTGTTGTTGTTTTCTCAACTCCTTCCAATTTGTCAATATCTTTCAGGAAGTGAGACTCACCAAATAGAATACAATATTTGAGGAACCTGAGCTATGCTGGAGAAGTGCTATTAAGTCAACTCTCCTTTTGTAAAAAAACCTCACGGAATCTTTACTGATGACAGAGATTCAGGAGCTTAGGCTTGTGTGTCAAAAATGACACAACCAGTAGCACAGTGTCCCCCCATACTAGGATTAGTGGAAGTCAGGCTTTTCTGGTTTTCACCAAAATCAATAGAATTCTGGTCTTTGATGCCTGGAACAAACACCAAAGTTTTGTAGTGCTTCTTTTTCAAAAGTTAGTGCACCCCTGACAGACAGAAATACCATCCAGTTCAGTGTAAGGCCTCCCTTTCCTTGGCCAACAATGACCCGACATCCTGTATTTCCATTGTCATTTCTGGAGCCTTGTCTGCCAAATTGCACACACAACATTGTAGGTGGAATAATAAACGTGTGTCTTTTAATACAATTTCCTTTGTCTTTAGTGCCTCATTTTTCATGAGGTTAAAAAAAGGCTCAACTTTCCTAACTTTGGAAACAATGACAACAGTAACTTTGTTTTGAAACTATAGCAGACCTTTCATCCTTTAAGCTCAGGATGTCTGTCTGCAACTGCTTCAACTCCAGGCCATGGTCTTTGAAATCTTAAATTATCAATAATGCTTTCTGTCCCTGCTGCATGCTGCAGGGGAATAAATATCTTTCATGGTAAATTTAGCAAACTCCCATGTGCTTATCTGCCAGGAAAATTATTGTTTTTTTGACTGCTCTCTTGCTGTGATACAAAGTAGATCCCTGTATCTCTGAGGATGGAAAACATACTTTACATGTTTCAGAAATAATGAAGTACAATCAGTCTTTATGTCTCCTAAAGACAGAGACCCCCTTCTTTCAAGTATAAAGCCAGTCTTTCATCTGCTCCCAAGAGCATATGTTTTGAATCGTGATGGCTAAATGGCCGCCATCTTGTACAAATCTAAATATCACAGGTTTACTTAGAGTTAACTCATTCCATGAAAATGTTCACCTTCTACTGTAGTATTGAGAGATTCAGTTATGTGATTTATTACAAAGACTAGGGCTGTACTGTTGATCACTTCGATATAAATAGATAATTAAAATGTCTGTATATATGCCAGACCACCACCTCCATCAATTAAAAAAGGACTTTTAAAAGTGATCTATATATTTAAATCATGTGCCCAGCTCTATAGTATATAGGCAGTGTACAGGGCCGCCCAGAAGATTCAGGGGGCCTGGGGCAAAGCAGGGGAGCGGACATACTCACCAAGCGGCGCTCCGAGTCTGTGGCAGCGGCGGGTCCTTCAGTTGCTCCATGTCTTCAGCAGCACTGAAGGAGCCGCCGCCGAAGACCCAGAGCGACTGAAGGGCCCCTTGCCGCCGAAATGCCGCCAAAGACCCGGACCACTGCCGGGTAAGTAAAAAGGCACCTCTAGCCAGGGAAGGGATTCTCGGCCAGGGCTCGCGGGGCCCCTGCGGGGCCCAGGGCAAATTGCCCCACTTGCCCTCCCCTCCGGGCGGCCCTGGCAGTGTACCAGTCTATCAGACACACATCTTTTTAAGTGGATATTTTCTTTAGTTGCCAATCTCCTGTCCTAAAGCAACATAGCTGTATTTCCTTACCAAACTTTTTACAAAACCCATGCAAATTTAGCAATTAGGCTTACTTGTTTTTTTTATTCTGGACCAGGAATATAATTTCCTCTTTCTACACAATTCCTTTAGTAATTGTCTTTAAGCACCAGTAAAGAGATCCTAATGGAATTAGATGTCTAACCTTTGTTCCAATTTATCTTATTCCTTTTATTCAAAGTAATGTATTTCTTCAGAACCTCTTATATTTACTGGAAATTAGCACCTATTTGCGTAAACTGTATTAGAAGCCTCCTCGGTTTAGTAATGTTTTTGAAGGACATACATTAAAATAAAATAGTTTAGCAAAACTTACCACACATATAGAGCACCAACACCTACCTACCTCCTTTCCAAAACAGTTAACATATATCCAAAGCCAGCTTGCATACTATTTTATAGATAAACCGCATTAAGCACACATTCAAACTAGATTTATATTATTTGACAGATAAGTCACCCCCACACAAACACTAAGGTTTGTTCTTCAGCATTATTTTATATAGCACGCACAGCCTAACTTAAAGGAACTCTAACAGTGTAAAATTTTAGTTAATGCATTCGTGTAACGGGGCGAGACTCACCGCTGCGGCGCCTGCTGCTGTCGTCCTGGGAATTAGCTCTTTCACAGCCTTGGAGCGCCCTCTGCAGGCCCCTGTCTTGCCTTGCTGGGCTCCTGTGTCCCTCCCGGACCCTGGTGCCCCTTTCTGCTGGGGTTCTGCCCCTCGCAGTACCCCACCAGTCTCGGTGGATCTCCCCTCCCCAGGGAACCCCCACCCACCTATCCCCACCTTGCCTCAGTCTTGGCTACTGCCAGTCCCCATCTAGCCCCCACTCACCGGGGCAAACTGCAGTCTGATTGCCACTCATTACTGGCAAGGAGGGTTTGGGCCTGCTGCCTCTGCCTATCCGTGGGCTGCCCTCTGCAACCCCAGTACCTTTTGGCCTTGCACTAGGCTGGCAGTCTGGGGGGTTTCCAGGCTGGAGCTCCCCAGCTCCTCTTGCCTTCCCCCAGCCCTACTCCACCTTAGGTACCCACGTACACTCCCCAGCAGCCAGGCCCTTCTCCCTCTAAAGGCAAAGAGAGAGTCTCTCTGCTCCTGGCCCACAACCCTCTTATAAGGGCCAGCTGGGCCCTGATTGGGGCATCGCCCCAGCTGTGCCTGCTTCCCCTAATCAGCCTAGGCTTTTCCTTCCTGCCACAGCCCTCTCCTGGGCTGTCTTAAGCCCCTCAGGCAGGAGCGGGGTGACCACCCCGCTACAGTTCGTGTATGAGACAAAATACAAGCTTAGTTGAAACTTGTCAGTCAGAGTTGATAACACTTTTTTACTTCTCCGTCCACAAGCTATGCCGTTTCCATTGAGGTAAAGCTGTAACTCTTTCAGAATTTAAGGCATGGAATGGAGGTTAAATTTATTAAACTTGGATTTAATAAAATAAAACCAGCAATGGCATATTAGGGAAACCTATATTCTAGGTATTTAAGATACAATAGATACAAATCATGAACTCAGACACAAGCATCTACACACAAACACACACCACCACAAGACTTTATAAGGTAGCCTGACAAAAACAGGACACAGGGATAAAAAAAAAATCTGATGTGGATTTTAAGGAAAAAACTTTGACACCAGTTTGAAATGTTTATTTAATGAAACAGTTTTGTATCTGTTCTTTGTTAGTTATCACGCTTTAGCATGGGTAAATGCATGTAATACAGCCTCATCAAGCATTCTGTTCCCTCCCATCTCCCCTTCTCCTTTTGTTTTTCCAATTTTCTAATCACTTTTTCACAAGGGGTCAGAAGGTGTAAACACCACCCACAAAGGCACCAGGAGGATTGGGCATACATACGAGGGCAAAACTGCAAGAGTGGTCATTTCTGACTGGGATGAAACACTAACATCACTAAAATCCTTGTCTGTACATGGTTAGGGATATTTTATAGAAGAAACTCAAAAGCAGCCACACACTTTTCTTTGTTAACACCCTAAGCCATATTTGGGCCCTAAAATAGCAGTGACTAAACAGGAAACCTAAAACGAACAATGAGAATCACAGCCAGTGGCAGTCCATGCAGCCACACTGGTGCAAAAACTCCATGCCTAGACATTTTTGGACTGATAAAAAAGCCCTGTGAGATCATCAAAAAAGCAACATCTTTATATTTGTAGCTGCAAGAGAGACTTTTTTCCCATCTAATTTATCATCACCATGAAGCAGCATCACAAAATGAATTTCCCTGAGCTTATATAAAACTATACATTGTACACGCCTTAAAAAATGTAATCTCTAGCTCACCCTTGTCCCACCTCACCTCTCCCAGACACTTGCCTTTTGTATTTACTAATGAGGAAGAAGTGAAATAAAAATGTACAACACAATATTTAAAAGAGATACTATCCCAACCTTTTAAAACTACCATTGGCTTGTTTTTAAAGTTTTGCCTATGAATTGCTCAGCCTGCAAACACCCCCAAAGAAACAAAAGCTTCGCTAAATCCAGTTCACAAAAATAGAACATAACTGCATTGCGGGCTCATCATTTGTAAGTTGTGAAGTGCTTCAGATTCCAGAGAACAATATAAAACTCCCTCATTTACAGATGCGTTTTACAATAAAATAAAATTGTAGAAGACAAGCCATAGCTTTGTAACTGCACGAAAGAGAGAGATGAAGGCTGTAGACTGACATGCCCCTGTCCTCTTCTCTTCCTGACTCTTTTAGTTGAACTCAAATGGTTGTCATCTTAGCTTTAAGCATGCAACTTGGACTATTTTGGCTATAGAATGTGGAACTACAGGTGTAGCATGTGGTGGCTATGCAGTAGGATATATTGTGGGTAGCAGGCTAATGTACATGTTTAATTTGGCATTATGTACTGACATTTTATTACCATTGTCACAAACACGTAGGTATATCTTCTATATAAATGTGGCAGGGTAGTTAACGTGTTAAATAATCAACATGGCTTTTTCTTTCAGAGATCCATCATGCCACACTACAAGCTCATGTATTTCAATCTGAGAGGAAGAGCAGAAATCATTCGCTATCTGTTTGCCTATTCAGGCATAAAGTACGAGGACCACAGGATAGAACAAGTTGACTGGCCCAAAATCAAACCAAGTGAGTAAAACAGATTCTTGCATCCAAAGCTTTACAAGAAATCCAGTCATAACACAAAACCACATGGGATGTGTGACGTTGTGCAGTCTATATGGATTTATAAAAACATAATAAGAAGTGAATATAATGTAACTGGAATAGTTTTATAAAAATATGATAAATGAATATAATGTAACTGGAATATGCTTCATGCAAAAGGTCTCTTGTAAGGTATCATTACAAAGCTTATAATCTACTGAGTGTGATCATCCCATTTGTATAAATGTACCACTCTTGCATCTAAAACTAGAAATATGAAATATAACTCTGGGGGCCTATTGTAATTATGTAAAGTGTGGGCCATTAATGATGGTTTGGAATCTTGATGATTCCCATTAACAGGGACCATTGTCTGCAGATGGCTGTGTTTACCTGTTAGTCTTCCTGTATGTGTGTGTGCTGGCAAGTGGGCAATGAAGTCTTGCAGTGACATGTGATCATGTCACCTGAACTGGAATCCATCTTTAACCTGGTGCTTTTCCAGTGAGGGGGGGTGGAAACCCAGAGGGACAAAGGGTTCCCGCCTTATGCAAAAGATATATAAAGGGGTGGAAGAGAACAGAGGGAGAGAGGAGCCATCATGAAGAATCCCCTAGCTATCACCTGAGCTGGAACAAGAGCTGTACCACGGGAAAGAATTGTGCCCAGGCCTGGAAGGTGTCTAGTCTGAGAAAAACTTACTGAAGCATCTCTGAGGGTGAGATTATCTATATTTAGTTTGATTAGACATAGATTTGTGCATTTTATTTTATTTTACTTGGTGACTTACTTTGTTCTGTCTGTTACTACTTGGAATCACTTAAATCCTACTGTCTGTATTTAATAAAATCACTTTTTATTTAGTAATTTACTCAGAGTATGTATTAATACCTGGGGGAGCAAACAACTGTGCATATCTCTCTATCAGTGTTATAGAGGGCGAACAATTTATGAGTTTGCCCTGCATAAGCTTTATACAGGGTAAAACGGATTTATCTGGGTTTAGACCCCATTGGGAGTTGGGCATGTGAGTGCTAAAGACAAGCACACTTCTGTGAGCTGTTTTCAGGTAAACTTGCAGCTTTGGGGCAAGTTATTCAGACCCTGGTTCTGTGTTGGAGCCAGACGGGAGTGTCTGGCTCAGCAAGACAGGGTGCTGGAGTCCTGAGCTGGCAGGGAAAACAGGAGCAGAGGTAGTCTTTGCACATCAGGTGGCAGCTCCCAAGGGGGTTTCTGTGATCCAACCCGTCACAGGATGGTACCAATTTGCTGATTTAGGATGGGAAGAATCAATAAATGCTAAAACCCTTCAGGTGAAATCTTGGCTTCATTGGCGTCAATGGGAATTTTACTATTGACTTCAGTGAGGCCAGGATTTCATCCCTTGTCTCTCCACCAGGCAATACGAGTCCAAGGACCAGATCCTCAGTTAGTGTAAATTGGCATAGTTCTTTTATCCTCATTGAATATATTGACACCAGCTGGGTCTCATGCCCCAAGTTTTCAAATGCTGTCAGCTAGGAACTGATGGAAACAAGGTAAGCATTAACACACTAAGGCTCTTAGAAAAAATTGGCCCCAAAGGCCACGCTAAAGCCCTTAAACCAATTTCAGAATCAAAATGAAAATTAAAGAAGCAAAGAGGGAACTGCCCCTTGTGACCTGGCAAGTTCTCTACGAGCAGAAGCAACAAGAGTAGCTGAAAAGGGACAATGATAGACCACAGCCTTCCTCTGAAAAGCAATATACAGCCTACTGAGAAGCTAACAGTGCACAGAAAGCTACAGGGCTCCTTTGTGTTTACAGTTCAATTAACTTGAGATTGACATAGAATGAGAATAAAATGTCAAAAGGTCAAAGCAATGTCATGTGTATGCCAAGCCCTTTGTTTACATGGCATAGTTTCTACCCTTTAAAACTGTTTAATATCTTAACTCGTCAGTGAGTCTTAGTCCAGAAAAGACTGACATCAGGCTGGTAGTTTGGAGGTAAGCACTTGCCAATTTCCTCCATGTTGTCACTAGAGGAAATTGGCTTCTATTCTGTTACCTCCAGAACAGATTGCTTTAGTGCTTTCTACATGGGGACTACACTTTAAGATTACAGAAAAGCTTCAGCTGGGGAAAAATGTGGCTTTCCATTTGTTAAGTGGTACTTCCTGGAAGGAACACATTACATGATCAGCACTGGCTTCCAAATTCGTTCTTGGTGCAATCGAAGGTTGTTTTATTCTATAAAGCCCCAAATGCTTTGAATCTTGAATGCTTTAAACATCATTTTCTCTGGAGTGACACTGAGACACTTGCTATTAGCTGGGGAGCTCAGACTAAGACACCCCTGGCTAAAATAAGAAGGGGCATCAGGGGAACAGGGCAGAAATAGAGACAGATTGTTTTCAGTGAGGGGCCTTGGATTTTGGAAACTATGTCTCCATCAGAGCCTAATTCATGACCATCACGTCATGCAGTATATCTTAGGTCTCCCCAAGGCATTTTCAGGGAAGAACGGGAGAGAAGTGGATGGGAGTGATGGTCAGAGAGTTGGTTTTAGAGGGATTTAGGAGAATTTTTAGTGCTGGACTTTTTTTAAGTTGAATTCGTGTGTATCCACAAATAAAGTTTGTTTACGTTTTCTACGTGTACCTAGAATTTTGGATAGGTGATTATTAAATAAGACTAAATAAAACAGACAATATAAATGGAGACTTAGAAATTACAAATGTCTTTACATCTTAAAACATATGAAAATCAGACTTCCCTGCCAAGACTGAGTTCAAGATGCTGTATCTCCCATGCAGCAGTTGAAGACATCACAAACACTCAAACCAGTCAGGCAGGAGGGTAGGAAAATACTTTCCAAGGTATTTTTAGTGTTCAGGACATGAAGCCATCAATGATGAAGCTTTTACATTATCCAGTGTCTGTTTGCCACTATGCCTGACTGCAGCCCATCTGCACTACCATCATCATGATCGAATGATTAGGGATGCAGGGTGTGTTAAAGAAGAAACTGGGAACCAAGATTTCTAAGCTCTGTTCTTGGATCTACCTTTACTCTAGAGCCTTAGACAAATCACTTAACCTTTGTTTCTCTATCTGTTAAATCAAAATAATACCGACCCGCCCCACCGGGGTGTTGTAAGGTTTAATTAAAGTTGTAACATACTTTGGGAATATATGTGATGAAAATTGCTATATATACACATTGATAATATTACCATTACTACTATGACTCTGACATTGGATTCCAGAGTAAATAATACATTTGGTAAAGTGCAGGGGGAGGAAGGTTTAGCTGGTGTCCAACTTGGGGCTAGATTCAGCAACCCTCTGCTTGGAACTCCCACTGACCCAGTGGAAGATCTGTGAATGACAAAACCAGGCATAGAGTACTTCCTAAGGGTCATTCATTATTTTAGAAATGCAAGTAAAAGTAAAGAGAGAGAGAGAGAGAGGGAGGATTGGACATGATTGTCATGGGAAACTCCAAGCCTAGAAAAACAATTGGATAGACACCTGAAAATGCCACTTTAGCCAAGAGTTGGATCCTAAATCCCTGCCTCTGGACAGCTCAAGGCTCATTAATGACACTGGATGAGGGTGAGTTCATGCAGAGATAATGGCACCATTCCACCAGACCAGCCAGCAGCAGAATACTTACTATGGGAAAATCTACTCCATGGGAAATAATAATTAATTATTCACTCTTTCAGTGTTTCTAGCTATAGCATGGTGAAATGTGTCATGTCGTATCACAAGGGTACATAAGTGCTGATGTTTAATGAATATTTAGGTACGCAGGCAAATACAATCTCCCCTCCATCCAAATGCAAGTCGATGCATCAGATTCAAGGTTCATGTGTGTGAGGAGAGTGTAGCTCAGTGCTTCTCTGATGTTATTTGGTTGTATTGCAATTTATGCAATAAATATACCTTCTAGTTGCACGTACATAATTATCAAGAGCTATGGGTAGTAAAAGGTTACAAAGCTGAAAGTGTCAAATCACGAGAACTTTCAAAAAACTCCCCAGCAAATGAAACTCAAATAGCCCTTTTAGCCAACTCCTCAGGCAAACCTTCCTTCCCACCCCCTCACAGATAAAAGCCTGAATAAATAGGTAGGTCCAGTCAGGTGTCTTGGAGGTAAACAAACTGGGGCCCTGCAGAGAAATCAAATGACAGACCAAGGATCCTTTAATGCAATTGCACTGCCTCCAACCTCAACAAATAAAAGTCTAGACTTTCCTAGCTCAGCTGATTTTAACCATCACGACGGAGCACAAAGAAAGAGGCAGTCTTTTAGCCAGGGCCTAAGCTGTACAGGGCTTTGTCTATCAGAACTATGGTAACTCTAAGAATAGTATATAGAAACAAACTGGAAGCCAGTGCAGTTTTCAAAACACAAGCGCAAAACTCTCCATGTAAGAAACAACAGAACCACATTCTGCACGAGCTGAAGTTTATGAAGTGTATTTTGTTTTACTAGCGTCAAGACATAATTAGTGAATGTAATGTAATATAATACAGTTATATAAATAAAACAAGACAGTCAGAACAAAATAACCTCGGCATAAAACAAGATCCAAATTAAATATGCTATCTTGCTTTTCAATTGTTTGAAAACCTTTCTGTGGAAAATGTCAAATCATTATCTTCATACAAAACATTCTGATTTAGATGAAACCGCATTTTCTGATGGAACACTGTTCTATCGAAAAAAATTTCCACAGACTCCACCTGCAAAGAGAATACTGACATTACCAGAACATACGCCCATGGAAATCATGTGCTGTACATTCCTTCTTATCCCTTCATTTCAAACTGCCTAGCCTAAAAGTAGAAGCAATAAAAACTGCTATGTCCTGGTGTTTCAGCTAAGCGTCCCCAATAAAGCCTGGATAAAGCAAAGCCACAATGCTACATAATCATTAAAAGACTTTCTGCTCTAAAATATCAGTTGTAATGATAAGACGACCGCATCAG